TTAAAATATAAAATATGTGTCAATAAGCAATAAGCTATACAGCTCTGTTTTCTAATTCTTTTAAATTAAACAAAATTATGTAGAAAGTAACTTCTTTTAAGGGCATACAGCTTTCGACTAGTCCCCATTTAACTACCCTACTCTCCCTGTATTTTAACAACAAGCCATCAAGCCAGGCGTCAATGTCTTCTAGCCAAAGACCCTCTGTTGTTCGGCTTGCTGGACGTTTAATTAATTTGAAATATGCCACATTTGCTTCCGCATCAACTGAACTGTGTGTGTGTGTTTTATGCCTACACAAAAGTTTTGTGGCTCTTGGGGGTTTCAAGCCGGGCGAAAAAAAAGCTTTTATTTTAATAGACGGTGCAGAGATGCGGACATGCATCCCACATACGAATAGCTGTATATCCATATATCTGTCTATATATGCCCAAACGTTTTTCTTTCCTATAGATAAGCATAACGTTCTTAATGTTTCCGCCCACTTTTTGTGATCTCAGAGGATGTGGGGGCGAGGGGGTTTCATAAAAAGTTTAATTGGTTTTGGCCTTGGGTGAAGGGAAAAACGTTTGGGAGTATCCGTGGGAACTCCTGCTAGTTATGAGTTGTTAAACTTTGCCCATACATTTTAATGCAGTTCACTGTAAACATGCAGTTGACATGTCGTAGTGCTAGAAGCATATATTTTAAACAATTTGTACTGAGTACATTTGTAAAAGGGTTTCATTTAATTAAACTAGAGGTTTACAATCACTAAAAGTGGAGCGTAAAAGTATGCAATAATATGTAGGGCTTGAGTAATCAAGGAAACCCATAAACATAGCATAGTTTTAGGCAGTATTTTTAAAATCTCTTAAATTTCCATAAAAACTCTCTTGACTAATTTTTGTTTGTTTATTTTTAATCAAGTATAGCAAGGTTATAGTTTTGATCAAATAATTTCTAGTGGTAATTAATAAAACAGAAAGTGGCATGAATGCAATTTAGACTTGCTTTGTGGCCATATTGTGGGCTTAAACCCGAAGCCCCCTTTCAGGTTGTGGCCAACACCCAGGGAATTCTGTGAATTTTCCATGTGGTTGTGGGAGCCAAGTGGGGTTGGCTTTCACCTGGGACCATCACTTACCTGTGTATGCGTTGCAGTTGAAACAACTGGTCTTTCACTCTAAGCTGTGGCAATGAAATGTGACTTGCCACAAAATGTGTCTGTGTCTTGGCAAAGTCCTGGCCTACAAAAAGGTGCATACTTTCAGGACTGAGTAGACTTTAATAACTGTGTAAAATTAGAAACTATTAACCAGCTGTAAAAAAGTAATTAAAAAATATTTAATAATATAATTACTTCACCTTCATATTTAATTCAAGCACCTATTATAGAGATTTAGTTGTAAGCAAAGCGGTCTGGTAGTAAGTCAATGTAGTAATTCCCTTAAAAATATATGTTTAAAAGAGAGAAATACAACCCAAAGGAGGAGAGCAAATTGTTTCAAGTCTTTCAAGTTTAAACTAATTTTAAAACATAATATTTTTCTTCTACTTTCAAACTTTGCTTTGCACAACACAAACCTTACACACAAACACACCCCCCGAAACACATGCTAAATCTTTACACCTAATACTTAACTTGGCTCCGCCCCCTTTTACTATATATCAATTTGTACGCCCCTTTTCTAATTGATTTTTGGGATTTGTTTTCCTTCTGCGACACAATAAACAATCCTTTTTATGAATTTAAATTATTGTGCTATGATCTGTTAATTAATCGTTTTGTGTTTTCACACTCTATTCTCCCCCCCGACCACCACCACCACACACAACACCTAAAAAATAATGAATATAATATTTATACAACGACAATAAATAATTTGTTGTTGAATTTTCAATGCACCATTCCGTGTGTGTAAATGTGTGTGTGCGTGCGTGTCTAAAAATTTGAACAAAAAATAATTGCACAAATGACCAAAATAATGATATAATATATATGCGAATATATTAAAACATGCAAAAACAACGATAAAAACAACGAATCAAAATCAACAAAAACCACAATATAAACAAATCTGCAAAAAAACACCTGACAAAATGCAAAATGTAAATGTTTAAACACACGTACACACCCACGAAAAAACTATATATATTATATATATATATACGAAAACCCTTAAAGATACCATGGGGACTGAAAAAAATCTGTTGGGGTCTGATAAATATAACCGTGCCCAGGGTAAGCAATCAACATTCAACTTTAATTTCAATATCATTTAATTGTTTTTTGTTGTACGTTCCGCCACACTTGCTGTTGTTAATTATTATGTTGTTATTATTATGAAGAAAAGAAACTTTACAAAAATCCTTATATATTTTTGCATTTATAACTCTGCCTCCTACTAATGTGCACCCAAAGTCTCCTTTAAGTTCCTGGCTTTAGATGATGAGTTGCCATTAAAAGCTCACTTCCGCTGAGCTGCCATGTGTAATTAATTAAGGCAACTTTATTGGGAAATCCATTTAGTTAGTGGCCTCGACAGTCTGTCTGTCTCTCGACCATCGATGGATGGCTCTCTGGCAATTCAGCAAATTAAATGGCTGGCTTAGGGCCCTAGACTCTAGACCATCATTTATTTGCCGAATCAAAACAATTAATTTAATGGTAAATGCAGATTAGAGCACCTAATTTCCAGCGACACGACAGTGGATTTATTTCAGATTTAGGATTGCAGCCAAGATTAATCTAATATTTGGCTAGCTGACAATTTGGCAGGCCACATAATTGGGTCTACAAGTTCTTAGGGTCAATAAGTTCAGTTTGGAGAGCCGTGGAAGCTGATTAAATAAATATGTATTTAAAGTTTGGCTGGAAAATTTGGGTTATTAGGTGGCTTAGCTTGGGGTATTTCAAGATGTGTTTAGTATTTATATTAAATTGAGGCCTTGAACTAATATTAAAAATCAAGTTGTCATGTTCCAAGAGGTTACCTACCCCAAAGACTTAATAACCACATTTTCGAAAACCCGCTTATACTTTTGGGCGCCAGTTAAAAATTAAGTTAAAAAGCTCTCTCTGTAGCTATGGCCAGAACTTTATAGATACGGGGAGCTTGGCTTATCTAATTTGGCCAACCTAATGGCTCATATTTCCCACCCGTCCCCTGTGAATGATGATGATGATGCTGCTACGGAGATACAGATACCCCTCGCAGATAGCCCAGTTTGAGCAGAACTCGGCTTGGCCGACAGGTGAGCTGCACAGGTGCAGGTGCGTGTCAGTCGAGATTCGCCAGTCGCACGATTCGGTTGCGGATCGGATGCAAATGCGATTGCAGTCAGCTAGCAGCGGCTGTCGGGCACAGCCAATTCAATTAATTAGAGCATATTAGCGGAAAATAGCGATTCAACTGGCCATGGTGGTCACGGATTCCCCGCTCGTCGCGCACAAGTATCTGCGTCGCATATCCAAGGATTTCTCCACGGTGCGCCGATACAGTAATACGCCGGCAGTGCTTTCGGTGCGTGCCACCACATCCGCTTTCATAGCGGCCGAGGCTGCTGCCCATTTGCCCACGACGAGGAGCAGTTCTTCCCTTGGTGCCCCACCTACGCCCAGGGGCATCCGGCGGCGACAGCGAATGCGGAAGCGCTCCTCCGTATCCTCCACGCTGTCAAAGGTCCTGATACTAAATGTGCGAGATTTACTAAAGGCCCATGCGGCCGCCAGTGATGATCCCCTCAAAGAGGTAGGAAAGTGACACTTGGAAGAGGTACACAGGGAGAAATATTAGGAATTTTTCTCAGAGAAATTAGAAAATTTTTAGTCCTTTGATGGGATGATTATAGGCTTTCCTTTCTTTATTGTAAATACTTTTTAAAATAATTTAGCTTAGTTTAATTTCTTTCTGCTATTTTAAACTGTTTTAAAGTGAAGTTGTAAATATTTTTAATACAGAAATTCAACAAATTTTGAATTATATTTTGTAAAGTGTAAAGGGAATCCCCTGCTTTCCAACTACTCAAAGTACCAAGAGCTATTTGCTCTCCTGAAAGCCACCCGTATGCAGTATGTAGCTCCAAGGGAAAGCCTCTTACTAATCCACAAATCAAATCCCAATCCCAAAAACCAATCCAAAAGCCAACTGTAGCTTCTTGGCCCTAAGTGCGGCTTGAAAGTTTACCACTTTGGCCTTTGTTTGCCGCGATAACAGGCAAGTTGCAGTTGGCCAAAGTTTTGATACGAAATAGGAATCAATTGTGCAAAGGCCTCAGGATTCAGGAAGGCATGAAAACGTGACCAGGATTTTACTTACATAAGTGTAATCTCCCGGCAAAGGCAAATGGCATAAGTGCAGCCAAACATATGAGAGGGGGCTTTTGTGGCTTAAAAGCTGGCTAAAACCCCTAATAGTGTAGAAAAAGTTGATGACAAATGCATATGCACGGCTGCCTAATAAAATATTTAAACTAAGCTAGAATCAATTGTGCAAAATGTGTAAATATATATATAAACCAAAGCCCTTTCATCCTGAACCTCACCCTCACATGTTGTAAATATTTTATTCTGTAAATGCATACGTTTATTTGTTCCATTTAACTAATTTATTTATACCTTGTTTGTTTTCACGAAATGAGTAATGTTTAAATAGTGATTGTATTGTGTCGTCGTCGTTGTGTTTATACCCGAATGATAATTGAGAACTATTATTATTTTAAATTTAATTGTAACTATTTTCTTCACTGAGGCAACTCAACCCTAAAAAAAAAATAGATTGTAATCCTTGAGTTCACTTGCATTAAGCACCTCTAGTCATCCCTTATGACGCTGGATCTGCTGTAAAACCTAACGATTTTGTATATCTTTTGTTACCTTTTGAATTATTTTACTCCTCTAGCTGTATATTGAGTGTATAAAATGTGACTGCCATGATGGTGTGATGTCTTGAATTAATCAACTAACTAACTCCAACTTTGCTCTTCCATTCCCAATTACCATTCCTGCTACAATTTAGCACCAGCCGCGTAGTTGGATCGAGACAAATTTCCAGAAGCGCGAATGCATCAAGTTCATACCATGCCCAAAGGACGATACAAAGTAAGTGGCTCCCTAATTTAATTTATTTGCATTTTAACTGTGGGAGCGGAGTGAAGGGGAGAGGGCGAAGGAGTTCCAAGTCCAAGACCAAGACGCAAACAGTTGACCCAGTTTCGCTGGCTATCAGAGAACGCTTTTCGTGATGCAGATGCGCCGACACTACTGGCCCAGTTCCTAGACCCATTGTGTATTTAGTTTCATTTTGGGCGTTAGCATTTATTGTTTATTATGACAGGCGCTGTCCCAAGACCCGGGAATTGAGATAAATGCGCCATAAAGCCGAAACCCCCAGCCCCCCGTTCTCAACTGATTCCGATTTGGATTCTGGCCTGGTGAAAGTTTTCAGCAGACGGGCGATGGCTTTATGGCCCCTTTTGACTCTTTACAAAACTCACTGCCTGTTATCAGCTTTTGGCTTGCCAAATATTTGCTAGCTGGCCTAGTCGAGTTACCACGACAACCGGTAGCTGCTGCTACATCTGTCCTGTCCTGTCCTACTACAACTATATATTCTATACTATATCCTCCGCCTCAAACGAGTTGTTACAGTCGAACTTGGCTGAAAATGAAATCAAATTCTTATGGCTTTTTGCTTTCCATAATTTAAACTTTGAACTTTCGGGAACTTGCACTTGCACAGTAATTAATATGGAATTTGTTCAAAGTTTAAATTGAAATTTGACTTTAATAAATTATTCTTTAATTGCTTTTTCGGTAATTATAAATTAGAGGTTTTACTCTAATTTAAATAAGTTATTTGCAAATAATACAGTGAAGATTGGGGGTATGAAGTTTAGTTTTAATGAAGCCACTTTTGTGTTTTAGTCATTTATGGGAATAATAATCCACAATCCATAAATACGAAAGATTGGGAACGCTTAAGTGAATGCTATGAGAAGCGCAGAGAAAGGCAGCAGTGAGGCAGAGAGCAAGAGACAGAGAGCAAGCAATAGAGAGAGCGAGAGCGAAAGAGCTTGCTGCCTTTCTATGCGCTTCTCATAACAGGCACCTAAGCAGAAGGCCAGGGAGAGAAATTTTGACAAACGGCAAAGTAATAATTTAAATATTCATATTTGAAGACACCCTAAAAGATCCAAGGTTTCTAAAGCCAACATTTGTGTTTACAAATATTAAAAATATATATATATAAATATATATATATGTATTTGTAGGCCCTTGAACAATATTAATTCAACTTGAATTAGAATTCAAGATTTCACAAATCCAATTTAAGGAAGCTGCTCTGTTTTAGCATGTCTACCACACATCAGTCACAGGCCATGGAATGTGCCACAGACACGTGCCGATTAATTTGATTATTTAATTCCATTCAAACTGATTTATATGCCCAAAGTCGGAAAGTATATACACACACACGCATGTGTGTGGCTTTAATTGAAATGCATTATTTAGCACACAAATTTTAAGCACCTGACAAGAACATCAGCTGGCGAAACAGACAGATTCGTATAGGATCGGGTCAGGTCAGACCCTCAGACAGGTTATTGCCTTTCCGTTTGTAGCCATCATATATATATATTTACTTTTTTTTCTTTTTTTTTATGATAGAGGGGCATGGGGGTCACAAAGCCAACACTCTCCGGCGTCGGCACACACGTGCATAAATAACGCTCTATATTACACGTGGGCATAGCAAACAAAGTGACAGGTTAAGGCGGATGCGTGTGTGTTATTCTGTTTTTCTGCCTTTCTGCGGGGAGTGTCTGCTTTCTGTTTGCCGAATATCATTTACACCCACCACGCATCCTGACACTGGGTCAACATTGAGTTCTATAAAGATACAGGACCTCCCACTCAGTTGCATATAGAAAAACTAGCAAAAAAATATGGTGAAGCAGAAGATATCTTCTTCTTTTTAACTTAAAATCAGTTACTGCAACACGGATTTAATTTTCTGTAAATTAGTTTAGCAGCTTGGCTGATTTCTGGAATTAATTAAAAAGGTAAATAGTGAAATGAAAGTGGAGAAAAAAATGACGAAAAAGAAAGAAAAAAGACCCAATTAAAAGAGAGGATGTAGTATAAATTAGTTGTAAAATTAAAGCCAAGCACGAATGTACTTAAAGTTTATGGGGAAAATGTTTAAGAAGGGCTATTTGGGAAAGGAAAGGAAGAGGGATAAGAAATACGTAACATTTAGGGGGTTTTTTTAAAGAAGAATTTAAGAAGATATTAAAGCAGAAATTGCGTAGAATTATTAGTAATACATTTCCTCCTATTGCAGATGCTGTTGTGGCCAAGTCCAGATCACACATCAAACGATACCTGGCATCGAGAGTGGCTCTCCCGGCGACCTCTGGCTGCCCACCAAACACACACGCCCCCAAACCACAGATGCCTACGGCACCATCGAGTTCCAAGGCGGGGCACATCCCACAAAGGCACAGGTAGGCTTTGGCCTAGGCCCATAACAATCCGTCCAATCGCTGGCCATTTGCCTTAATAACTTTCCCCAAAAACTTCTCTTCTGTAACAGTATGTTCGCCTGTCGTTCGACACGCGGCCGGAGCTGCTGGTGCAGCTCTTCACCAAGGAATGGAATCTGGAATTGCCAAAACTTTTGATCACCGTGCAGGGCGGCAAGGCCAACTTTGATTTGCAGGCCAAATTGAAGAAGGTGAGAGCGCAAAAAAAGGGTCCCCGGGTCGTGTGTCACACGCTAATTGAATGGACCGGACCAACAGTAACCGCATCCCCCCGTTTCCACTTTTTTGTTGTTCTTATTTTGACTCTCGCAGGAGATACGCAAAGGACTGCTGAAGGCGGCCAAGACCACAGGAGCCTGGATATTCACTGGCGGCACCAACACCGGTGAGCATTCCGTTTCATTTAAGTTTCATGAAAGGACACTGCACAGTTTTATGGCCAACGATTACGGCCCAGTTGCCAGGCTATATCCAACGGAGCGCCCAACTTAAATAAGCACAAAGAAAAATGAGCAAGGAAAACAAACAACAAACAATGGGGCGGGGGCGGTAGCTGGGGCCAGGAAAAAAACTTAAAGTGCGGATGAGCGACCCCAGTCGAAAATTAAATAAATAAAATCCCAAGCGGAAATCACGCAGCCAGTGATTGTACACACTTCAACTGGCTTGCCAGTCAACATATTGTGCTACCCAGTAGCCCCTATAGGAGGGGTATGCTGGCACTGATCCAGGAGAAGGGGAATGTGGTGTAGCCTGGCTCTCCAAGTAAATTGGATTATCGAGCAGAGGGAAAGGGTAGAGATGAGTACGTTGGGTTTATAGCCCAAAAAACCTATATGGTTTTTTGCTTGAAAAGTTGGCCATTTAATTAAGTTGTATTTAATTGCATTAAATCAGATTTTAAACCATTAAATTTATTATTTGATTTGTGCTGAAAAAAAAGTATAATTGAATGATTGGTTATATTTCATAAAGTAATAAGTTGCTAAATGGTTAATGGCAATGAATAAAGCACAAAAGTAAATACTATTTTTTTTTTTTACTATTTAAAGAAGATTCTACCCTGGAAAATATATTTATTTAAAGTGTATAACTTGGCAAAATAAATATATACATAAATTTAATTGATTTCCTAGTGGTTTCAAAGGCATCCAAAGCCACAAGAACTTTTTAGGCTGAGTTTAAGCAGAGAATTTCGCTTTAAAGTATCGATTTTATTTAGAAAATTCAATCTAAAAATTACCACAAATGTAAATAATACAAGGTAGTTTTCTTTTCTTATACAAAAACCCAAAAAATATTCTCCTCTTTTGTTTGCTGGCAGCGCATTCCACAGTCGCATATTAGATACTTTTCGTTTTATTACATTTTTCATTCGACTTCTCAGAGAAGGTCACTTTTTTTTTGTGTCGTCTGGGTTTTGTGCTCGAGTTGTTATTAAATTTTAGACACGCCCCCAACGCCCCGTTAACTATGATATAAAACGCTGGAACAGGACGATGAGACTATGTAGCAATTCTCGAAGGAAGACAAGAACTTGTTTACGCACTCGCTCAATGCGACCGCCATTGTTGGGCCATCATCCATCCTGACCCTTCTTCCGCCTCGTTCACAGGAGTCACCAAGCAAGTGGGCGACGCCCTGCTCCTGGAGGGCCAGCAGCGGACAGGACGAGTGGTCAGCATTGGCATCGCTCCCTGGGGCATCGTCGAGCGCAATCACGAGCTGTTGGGCCACAACCGCGAGGTGCCCTGCCACAGCATAAGTTCGCCCAGGTAAGTGTGTGTGGGAGCATTCCAACCTGACCGTGGAATAATGCATATTTAATGGGGGTCCAATCAAGGCAACAGGCTTAATTGTGTCTGGGCCACGTTAAAAATGCATGAGCATTAGCTGTTGTGGTTTCTCCCACTGCAATCACCAGGACCTGTTGCAATCATCACCTGCTGCTGATGCAACGGCTGCGTATTCCCATTACCTTTCTTATTTCTATTTCTTTTGCTATTTAATTTCCCTTTCCGCTTCCTTTTCCTTTTTCCAGATCCAAGTTGGCTGTGCTGAACAACCGGCATGCTTACTTCCTGCTGGTGGACAATGGTACCCAGGCCAAGTATGGAGCTGAGCTCATCCTGCGCCGCAAGCTGGAGAAGTTTATATCCAACCTGAAGCTACATCCATGTGAGCCGGGGCATACACACACAAATTGGGGACAATATGACAGCTCGACAGCACAAAAGGCCAATCAGGCCGCAGATTGGAGCTCCTTGTCATGCTTGCCATTGAGGGCCGTTTTCTTTTCATGGCCAATGCCGATGGCTAAGCTCCCAATGGCAAGGACATTCGGGCTGTGACGTGGCGAGCTGTCATTGTGGGGTTATTAAGTTGCACTGCGAGAAAAGATTTTGAAAAGTTTAGGGGATTTATTTGGGGTTTATTTTTGTGAAATCTACAAGAAAAAAAAAAAAACGATCCAAAAACAAACCTTAAATAAACAAAATAAAAAAGAAAGCTAGGAGTTAATATTTAAGACATAATTATGAAAATTATGTATTAAAATTTTCTAAAATATATTAAATCAAGAAGCAGGACTAGCTTTTGTTTAGGCCTTTGAATTAGGAAATTTAAAATATTTCTAGCACTTAGAGGAAGCTAAATTCTCGTTCTTTTTTCCTCAAAAAATATAAAACCAAAGGTTCTCCTTCTCCCTAGATAAATATTAAATTATATCTACAGAATTAACTCTCAATCTTAAACTAAAAAATGCCTAAGACATTTCTTAAATTTACTTATACTTCTAGCAAAGAATCACTGGCTTAAAACAAACGGTATACGGAAATATATATTTTCTTCTTTCTACTTTCTATATATCTACAAATATTTTCGTTATCTTCAAGTAATCCTTCGTTAGAGTAAAAAGAATTTCAACTAGTTTCTTACTTTTAACTTTTTTCCATATTCATTTCTCTCTAAAACTATACTGTCTGCTTTTTACAAATATATATATTCTTCTAAAATAAAGCTATAATTTCATTAGAAATTTCCATAATTTAGGCATCAATTAATTTATTATATTTTCAAAAGTGAAATTATTATATTTTGTTGAGTGTACCGAGACCAGGTCACCAGAAAAAGAGTCATAATCGACCTGTTGAGTCCTCTGTAGCGGCCTGCACTCTTCTGTGAATTTGACTAATCCCCGTTGCATGTCCCCCACGTGGATTGTTCTACTCAAATCTTTACCTTTTGTTTCCATTATTTTTGTTACTTTTTTTCGGGATTGTCCCTGCTGCAGTCACACATTCCAGTACGCCCGTCGTCTGCCTGGTGATCGAGGGCGGCACCAACACGATACGTGCGGTGCTCGAGTACGTGACGGACTCGCCGCCGGTTCCGGTGGTGGTGTGTGACGGATCCGGGCGTGCCGCCGACCTGCTTGCCTTCGTCCACAAGTGAGTACATCCCAGGATATTTTTTTGGGGGAGAAGCTTTGGCTTTCTGAGATGAATGGCACTTTGTGATGTATTTTTAAGCGTGTGGAAAGGGAGATTTTTTATTTAGACTTTTCTTTTCAATTTTCTTATTAAATATGAATAAGGAAAAGTGTTTTATTACAGCTTCTTGTTGTTTATTTATTTTAAATAAGAAAAAATATGAAACTTTGCAGGGTTGGCTTTAAAATTTAAAACGGAAATTTACTATTTTTATTCGAAATGAAGAAATACCTTTTATTTTCCAGTTTAAATTAAGAAAATATCTTCAAATTTTATTAAGAAAATATTTCCAAATTTTAATAAAAATATTTTAAAATAAATAATTACATTTATTTTCCATTTATTAAAATATTTTCTTGAAATTTTTATAAAAAAATTTTAAAATAAAGAAATACATTTTATTATCCAGTTTAAAGAAAATATCTTCAAATATTTATAAAGAAATAATTAATATTATGAACTTCTTGTAACCCACTTAAAAAACCCCCCTTTAAAGCATGTGCCGCCGGGCTAACTTAATGAGAAACCGCAATTTGTGTAAATTTAATTAAGAACATGTTCCCATGCCCTTTGACCCGAAGCGCCAGAATTGTTGCTTGGGCCCATTGTCAAGCACGCGACATTTGGCAAATTATTTAAATTTACTGAACGCTCCACACAAAAAGGGGGGAATCCCCCAAAACCCAATTCCATTCCCCAAGCCTGGTTGTGTTTACCTTCTGTCGGGACCACACGGAGGACCCTTTTTGTGTGCCACATTTAATTTTGTTGTTTAATTAGTCAGAATAATTTTTGGGCGCCTCTGCTTTTTCTTCTGTCTCTTTCAAAAATAAATATGTATATATATTGTATAATTTATATGCAGATATGCTTCGGATGGCGAGGAGCAGCCCGTGCTGGAGTCCATGCGGGACTATCTCATTGGCACCATACAGAAGACCTTCGAAGTGGGCCTGGACCAGTCCGAGAAGCTCTACCATGAGCTGTTGCAGTGCACAAGGAACAAGAATCTGGTAAGTCCTTCTCCTTGTACCTAGTTACAAACCCCTTTGGGGGCGACTTTCTTGAAATTATTAATAGAAGTGTGAGCCACAAGTTGAATTTACATAATTAATTGCTATGTAAGACAAGTCGAGAGAGGGTGTAATTAAATTATTAGGGAATTTAATCAAGGGGCTGCAAGGGTTAAGCCTCATCTTCCTGTTGCTCTTTTCACAAGGGATATACATTATCCTTAAAGAATTGAAAGATAAAACATTTTAAAGTGCATTTTTAGGCTCCTTTGTCTGGCCCCCTAAATTTATTATTAATTTTCTATAACCCCAGGTGGAATTTAACCCACATTTATTTATAGGTAAAAGCCATCAATTAAAATCGCATAACCCTGCGGGCCTCCTGCCTCTGTCTTTGCTCAATTAAGTTCCCAAGTTCCTCCCGGAAGATTGCAGGAGATTCAAATTAACCCACTGCTGGGTGTGAGGCTAACTTTTCAATCACTTGAGACTTTTACGCGAAGCGATTTAAATTTTTAATTAATGCTCGTAGGGCTCGTTGCAAATAATTAGGCTACAAAATTCAATTGAACGTGTAATGAATTTGAAATCACCGTCTGGCATTTCGTCAATTCCGCCGCAGCGGTTATTAAGATTTTAATTGGTTTTTGAATGAGCCATGGGATCTAGGAGTAGCAAGTCCTTGTCCTTGCCAGGGGCTCTTGTTGTTCCGGTTTTCTTTTTTTGCATTTCCTAGGGAGTGGCAGCTAGGCAAACAACATTAAGAGATACTTTGCGTTCGTACGTATTTTTTATGTATATTTTTTTTTTTTTGTACAATTTCTCCTGCCAGATTACCGTCTTTCGCATACAGGAAAAGCCCGAGGGCGAGGCACAAGAGCTGGATCAAACCATCCTGACGGCCCTCTTCAAGTCGCAGCATCTGAGTCCGCCGGAGCAATTGAGCCTGGCCCTGACGTGGAATCGCGTGGACATAGCGCGCAGCGAGATATTCGTCTATGGCCAGGAGTGGCCCAACGGTGAGGGGTCCCTTTGCTTTGTCCCCCCATTTGCATTTTGTAAAATGAAAAAAATTCTATACCACTTAAAAAGGCGCCCTCGACGAGGCCATGATGCAGGCCCTGGAACACGATAGAATCGATTTCGTCAAATTACTCCTGGAGAATGGCGTTTCGATGAAGAAATTTTTAACAATACCGCGCCTCGAGGAGCTCTACAATACCAAGCACGGGCCGGCCAATACGTTGGGGTGAGTTGTGTGCTAGCCATGGACACACTGGCCTATGCAAATTTCAATACCAATAACAATGTCCTTGTTGTTCGCCCCCCCCCTGCAGCTATATCCTGCGCGATGTCCGACCGCACATACCCAAGGGCTACATTTACACGCTTCACGACATCGGTCTGGTGATCAATAAACTGATGGGCGGTGCATATCGGTGAGTAATGTTGATTTTTTCGGTTTTTACCTAAACAGTTTTTTGCTCTAAAAATGTACAAAACTCGCAGGGGAAATTCTTAAGCAAAGAGTTTAAAAGGAATCTGTTTAAAGCCGCTTAAAGTGGCTTAGGAAATTGGTTGTTTTAGGTTACTTTGTGTGTTTAATAATGTTTTTATAACCACAATTAACCAATTTTTAGGCTTATGTTTAGTTTCTAAAAATTATCTTCTTAAAAAATAAATATTCTTGACTTATTTAGGCTCTGAAAATTCTTAATTGTGCTTTCTAAAAATAGTAAAAATACAGAATACTCCTGTGCTAGTAAAGCTATTCCTTGACTTCTTCAATTTTCTTTAAATTCAACCAATTTTAATAAATAAAATGCCTAAAAATTGAGCTATAAATGTCTTAAATTCCCTTCTATCTTCCAAAGAAAACCCACAAAAAAAGTGATCAAATTTAATAATAGGTTTAAAACCGCGAAAAGAACACCTCGCCAGCCGAAAACTTTTTGGTTATATTTTCGGGCAAGGGTTTTGACCCAATGGACCCAAGTAAAGTCATCCCTTAACGTGTTGCGGATTAAACTTGATGTTTTGAAAATTTGTTCATGAAAATGTAATAAGTTTGCACATCAAGTTAACAGCCAGGGCTCCGCCGGCTGAGGCTGAGGGAATGGGTTTGCTACGCTTTGTCATGTTGATGCTGCGCACAGCCAGAGTGGCGAAGGGCGAAAGTCAAAGGAGCAGGCAGGATGCCAGCCACGACGAAAGACCCCCTTAATTATGCAGCATTAATATTTTGCCAGCCAGGCGAAACGCGCAGTTTGGCCTGCTTAAATTTAGTTAACGCGGTGGCTACGGCCACCACAATGCCTTTTTATATCGCTCATAAGTTGGGTCAAAAAGAAAAAAAGGAGAAGACCCAGAGCAAATTGTTTGTGGTTTCAATATAAACACGTTGGTTACAACGAGCAACCTCCCACTGGAATCACTCAATTTAATTAAAAGTCATGCACAAAATGTGGCCTTAACCAGGCTGAAATAGGGAAGGAAATCTTTGAAAATCATTCGGTTTGTAGATGGTAAATTTAATTAAAATATTGAGCAAACTGTAATAGTGTGTGGCGTAAATCAATCGGAAACAAAATAAGGCATTGCTCAAATCGGACACAAAGGTTTCAATCAAGACACCTGATCTTGACAGGTGGACTTTAATTGGGCGAATCAAGCACTTCCAGCTGTGCAAATGTAACACAATAAATTTTAAATATTTAACAGACACTGAGGTAGTAATTATTCGCAGAGCTGGCAGATTAAATCGATACTGTATCGATATTAGATGTAAACATAAATATATCGAAATTTTAGTTATCGAAATCCATCGATTATAATGCTAAAATATCAAAACAATCGTTTTTTAATCCAATTATACTTTTTAAATAAATAAAAAATAATGTTGCATCGCCCACACATTACAAAGTTAAAATATTGATTTTCATATCAACTTTCGCATCCAATATTGCTTCAGTATCAATATATCGATATTTACTACCATTAAATGAAATATCAGACTTATCCTTTCGACTTACATCTCTGTTTATAAGTTCTTTGCTTACAGCCAGTGCAAAGTAATGAAATAAATCCGTCAAAATACCAAGTTTATTGTACAATTATTTCAATTTGTTAAATAAACTTCAAGTTCTGGCGGATGAACTTTGATTTCGACTATTTAACGAGTCTGAAACTGTTTCGTGGTTCACTGTAAAATGTTTGCAAACCAAAAAATCAATCAGCAAAAGGATAAAGTTTTTGCCAAAATAAAATCCAATTGATTTGCAATCAGTTTAGGCAAGCAATTGTTGCTGTCTCCTTAAAGGCCATTTGATTTCAATGAAGCCATTTGTGTATCAATTCTTGAACCCTTAACTTTTTGCTCTTTCCCTTTCATATGAATGAATAAAGTGCACTGATAAAAATGGTTTTCAATATTTAAAAATATATATAAATAGTTTTCTGGAATTTAAGGCAAGGCAACCTAATATCAACAAGACACCATTTATACCATTTTCAGATTTCATTTGTTTACTATTTATTGACTTCCTTTATTAATTGTTTTTTTTTTATAATTCCCAACTGGTTCCAACATCTCTGACATGAAGTGACGGTTGCCAGCCATAAATTTAGTGATGAAAAGTAGGTGTGATTAGTGTGGTGAGTGGAGAGCACTTGAAGTGCTGTGCTATCACATTATTACTATAAAATAGTAGATACAATTTTGATGAGTGTAAGCAAACAAATTTGACACTCACTACGCTTCCTTTGTAGTTTTCCTAGTCTCATCCCTTCGTTGTTTCTGACCTTTGTGCCTTTAATCAAAAGAACGAAACCTGCCTGAGCCTGGAAGTTATCTGACAAATGGCCATCTAAATGGCCGTCCAGGCTATCTAGGCAATGAGCCGGCGTCACAAGCGATGTGTTTATATTAAATTAGGGTTTACGGACTACAGACTCCGACTCCGACTCCGTTTCGAATCTTGGTCCTTGGCCTTTTCTCGGTCGGCTGGCTGGGCTTGGCTTTTTGGCTGCTCCACAGCCTGTTTTCCTTCCATGTCTAGACTATAGACATTTAAATGTCAGGAGCAGCAGCCGTGTGGCAGGCGTAACTTTGGCGTAATTAAAAGCGTTAAAGTTTCTTGATTTGATTATCATAAAATTGGAATAGCGCTTGCCTGTTGCTGTTGCCTCGGGTTCATGGGGGCAACTCAATTGATTTGCCTTTTTATTTGTCATAAATAATTTATGGACGCTTGTGTTGATGTGCTGAATTTAATTGTGCGCTCGTAAAGCGAACGACGACAGGTGCTGCTCCTGCTGCTCCTTGAGAAGCCTAAAAACCCAAAACAAAATTACATTTACATTTAGCGAAGGGAAATCTCTTAAGCCGCGAGGAGAACAAACAATGTGGGCGAAGGACTAAAAAATGAAAGTGAAATGGAAACATTTCATTACTATTCAAGTCCCGGCTACTGCAGCGGATGTCCATCAGAGAGAGAGTTGTTGGGCATTTTTCACACAAAGGCAGATACAATGCGAAATTACTGAAGCGTCCAAACAAAACCCAATTCCAAAACCCCACTCAAACTGGATTCCTCTTCCTCCGCAGATCCTATTACACGCGCCGCAAATTTCGGCCCATCTACGCCAAGGTTATGAACAGCTATGCCAACGCCTGCCGCAAGTCCTCCACCTACCAGTATCAGCGCTATGCCGGAGCCAATTCCCTTAGCCTGGTCACCGGCCTGTTGCCCTTCACCTCTGAAATGGCCCTCTTCGAGTTCCCCTTCAATGAGCTGCTGGTAAGTGATTTTTTCGGGTGCTGCAGCTAGAGATTCCGATAAGGACTACCCCTCATTTGCATCAACAGATCTGGGCGGTGCTGACCAAGCGCCAGCAGATGGCCTTGCTGATGTGGACGCATGGCGAGGAGGCGCTGGCCAAGTCCCTGGTTTCCTGCAAGCTGTACAAGGCCATGGCCCACGAAGCGGCCGAAGATGACCTGGACACGGAGATATACGAGGAGCTGCGTTCCTATGCCAAGGAGTTTGAGAGCAAGGGTGAGAGAATTAGCTTTAAATTATTATTATTATTTTAAATTAATATATTTAATTCTTAAGGCAACAAGTTGCTGGACTTTAGCTACCGCCAGGATGCTGAGAAGGCCCAGCGGCTGCTCACCTGCGAGCTGCACTCGTGGTCCAACCAGAGCTGCCTCTCCCTGGCGGTGGCAGCCAATCATCGCGCTTTGCTGGCCCATCCCTGCAGTCAGGTGATCCTGGCGGATCTCTGGATGGGAGGCCTGCGTACCCGCAAGAATACCAACTTTAAGGTGGGTTAAGCCACAGTCAGATTCCATTTTATATATTTTAAAAGTAATTTTCCAATGTTCTAGGTCATCTTGGGCTTGGCGATGCCCTTGTACATCCGTCAGCTGGATTTTAAAACAAAAGAGGAACTCCAGCAAATGCCGCAGACCGAAGAAGAGCATCTGGAGAATCAGAATCTGGACAATGATGACTCGGATCGCTCGCAGCCGGATGCCGAGGTATCTAAGTAGCTCAGTTGCATCCGCCAATGTTTTGTTTGTTCATTTCCTACTAACAAATCTTTAAACATTTAATTTGGTTTCGTTATATCTGTATGTGCCAGTCCTTAACCTAAGTGTTTTGGTTTAAATTTAATACTAATTTCTGCTATATATATATATATTCATCAATCCTAACCAAACGCTGTCGAAATCCAACTTTGTCTGTTTATAGAGCGCCCTTTTAAAGGCCAAAAGATCCATTTCCTTGAGATATAGGATGGGCGCGGGTGCTAATAATCGCGACAAGGTAGTAACAACCAAACAGATCAACTTTCCGACTTTCTGTTTACTTTGCTGTTGCCAGTCGTCTATATCTATAACTATATATCTTGCATACAAAAAAACCACACACCTATATGTTCTCTGCTCTGTCTCTCTCTGTCTCTATATCTCTTTCTATCTGTCTGGTTGCCAGATCTATATACATATATGTGTACTTATTCTTGTTCTATGTTTAATGCTAACGACAACCGATTCAAGTCTCGTCACACATTTATTTTTGGTTGGTAAATACTTGTAATTGTGCTTTGGTCTGTACTGTTGTTTTTTGCTAGTCATAATGGGGTCTACTATATCTAAAAAAAGGATAACTGAAATACAAGGGTTCTTCAAACTACACTCTCAAAACTGAAGGCAAACTTTCAATTTTTAGGCCTTTTTCTGCTCCATTTATTTTGTTGTTTAAAGTACATAAATTAACTATCATGCGGGCTCTACCCTAAGGGCTTTCTTTTAAAAGGGTTTTTCGTGTTTATTGATTTTTTTTATATTATTTTTAGCAGAGAGCCTTTGGTCAAACTCATTAAAACTCGCCCAAAACTAACTATTCTTTGACTATATATTTCCCTTAAGTGCAAGCTAATGCCAACTGAACAGCTAAACAGTTCGCCCTCCTTTAAGAGTGTCTCGAATTCAACAGATGTAAGTGAGCCAACCGACGAGACCACTCGTTAAATTTGATTAGCTTTTTGCCTTTAGTGCTGCCCTTCCATTAAATTTTAAAGTCTCCCCCGCTCCTCATCCATCCGCTTGCCTTGAATTAAGTGCGAATTTCCATTAGCTGTGCGAGCTGATTCAAAGTTCAATTAAGTAATAATCTCGGCACCACAAGCAATCCACCCAAATCCACCCATTCCAGCCCGAAGAGGGAACCACATCAAATGCCACAATGCCTGGCAGGAAGAGAGCTCTGCACTTGTGCAAATATTATTTTTCAGTTACACGAGCAACCCCTCATCCTTGGAAGGGTTTCAAATCCCTTAATCGTTGAATCAAATTAAAGTCTATTAAGGGTCGTCGTCATTCTTAGTCCTTAACCGTAGTTTGCTTCACACAAACACATACTTATAGCCGTAAGACATATCCTTGTATATATCTGTGGAATGTGAATCAGAGTTATTGGCATATATATATATATTTTCAAATCTCTTCCACTCCAAACACACACTTTTCATCGTTTGGAAATCTGTACCTAAACACACACCACACATATTCTACATTTTAAACTTCAACTCAACTCAAGTATTTTGTCCAATTATCACCGCCAAATAGATTAGAAAGTAAACTAAAGCGTGAATAATTTCCCATCTGATAAATGCGAACAAATGTGCGTGAACCGTTGCAGGCTCTGTTGGCGGATACTTACTCAGTGCGCGATACAAAAGTACACGAAAATGGCAAAGTGAGTAATTCCACCGAAAAAATATCTAAAAGAAACCAAAAACATCAACAAACTAGATACACATACAGCCTTTCATATACATACTCTTATTATTACTTTTTTTTTTCATCGAAAACTTTGACTCAGAATGCGAATACGACTGCAATTTGAAGACTCAAACATTATAAATAAAATCCAACTGACAGCACAGAAAAGAACCAACGAAATGCCGTTGTTACCCCAGAATTATTATTTCTATTTTGATTATTGTAGTACGTTTTGTAGGAAAAAATACACAAATGAGATTGAAAGGCAATATATAAATAAGATGCGTAGCGCCAAAGGATTTCTAAGCGAGTAAAAAGTATAGAATTCCTATGTTTGAAGAAAAACTTTATTCGCGTTATGCATCTTATTAATTACATTGCCTTTGTAAAAAACCCTACGATCCACAGCACACTTCAAATACTCGCATATATAGCTATAGAAACCCTACCCCACACACTCACACACCGTTCTAATGTCCCCAAGTACTTGTATCGTATCAATTTACAGGTTAATCTCACTGCTGGAGCGGATGAACAGCCCTCCAAAGTTAGTTGAACCCCGCATATAATTTTTTTACTCTATCCCTCAATATTTTTTCTCCAAGTATCAATTTTCATTTCAATGGCATTTCTGTAGCTAGCCGGCTTTCAGTAGTAATGATGATTGCTCTCCACTTTATATTCCTCTTGGAATGTGCATTTTTCGTAGCTTATCCTATGGCTTAGCGAAATGTTCGAATTCATCCAGTGCACCTTTCCCCATCGATTTTTATCTCAGTAGAAACTATTATAGAGCAGCACTTTTTTGCGAGGCGAGAACATTTTGTTTTGCATAATGCTTCAATTAATTAACTTGTTCTGCATGCTGTGTTGGTCTGTGTGTGTCTCTGGAAAACTAAACACATGCGTTTTTAAGTAGTAACAAATTGAGCCTTAAACACCAGCAACACAAAATTAATTTGAAAGCAAGCGCCAAGCCAAATCACATTTGACACCCCGACTCAACGGGGCGTATACGCAATTCCCCAATGTACAGTACAATATATATCCTCCAATCCTTCACATGGCTCTCTTTGAATGTTCACTGCACATTGATGATTTAATTAAGGCCAAAAAAAGTATCGAACGCTTCTCTTTCTCTCCGCATCCCAGCTCCCTGTCCCCTACAGAGTCTCCACTAACCCGTCTGTGTGTGTGTGCGTCTCTCTCCTCAGGTCTCGCTCACCGACTCGGATCCCGCCCAGTTCCGGGAGTTCTTCAATCTCTCCGAGTACAACGAGGTGAAGCAGCACCAGCCACTGCGCCTGAAGAAGAAGTTCTACGAGTTTTATACGGCGCCCATTACCAAATTCTGGGCCGATTCGGTAAGTGGCGGAAATTACTATACAGTTAACGTTACGGGGGTAGTGTGCTTAATATCCTGCTGGGGGCACTGAGAGAAAAGGAAGGGGAGGTTACGAAATAGTAACTATTAATTTATATAAATATGAAATGAGCTTAAAATGTTTTATTACATTGAAGGGGAGTTGATTTTATATTTCTAAGTATTTGTTTATATAATTTGGAAACTAATTTTGTTAAGAAAATAAGAGTTGGGAATTTTAAATCATGGAAACTTAAGTTTTTAACTTAATAAGTTGATTTATTTTATTATATTATAATATTTATTGAAAATAAATAATTCTGTTAAAGGAGTAAACATCTTAAAACTGACTTCCTTTTTATATTTCTAAAATTTTCTCTAAAAGTTATAATTCCCAAGTGATTATTTTGGGTAAAAATTGTAAAAAATATATATTTATCACAAGTCCAAAAAAAATAAAATAAACCAATATAAGCCAAGGTTTTAATATTTATTTATTAAAAGAAAGGCACTTTCAATTTCCCTCCTCTATTAATCAGTTTAGGTTATTTCTCCCAGTGCCCTGACAGCTTGTCATAGATTGTGCAAGGTTTTTAATTATTTTTGCGGTATTTGCCCTTAACCCAAAACCCGCTTTTCCACCATCTCCTCGCCCCTGCAGATTGCCTATATGTTCTTCCTGATAATGTTCTCCTTTACGGTGCTGGTGAAGATGGAGACGATGCCGCGGTGGCAGGAATGGTACTCGATAGCGTACATCACCACGCTGGGCTTCGAGAAGGTGCGCGAAATCATATCCTCCGAACCGGTGGCCATTACGTAAGTAGACCCACATCCATCGCATTATCCATTGGTGTTTAATTGCATCTGGCGATGAGTGCAAATGAAGCTGGATGGGGGGAGGGAGGGATTTAACAGATGTGCGCATTTCGATTACTTTTTTTTTTTGTGTCTTCAATATGTGTGCTGCCTGCCTTTCGCTCACGCTTGAAATAACGCACCTTCGATGGGTTCTTTCTTTCTATCTCCCTTTCTCTCCATTAATGGCGGACAGGCATAAATTCTCGGTGTGGGCGTGGAATATGTGGAATCCCTGCGATGGCGCCGCCATAATACTCTTTCTCATCGGTCTGGCCTTTCGGTTTCGAGATACCACCATGGACATTGGCAGGGTTATCTACTGTGTGGATAGTATATACTGGTATCTGAGAATCCTCAACATCCTGGGCGTCAACAAGTATCTGGGTAGGTTTTCTAGAGTCAAAGGATTCCTTTTGAAGTTTTTGCAAGGAATTTTCACTGAAATCCTAGAATTCTTTTCCCCTTCCTGCAGTGCATTTAATTCTGTTTAATCCATGGCAGGTCCTCTGGTCACCATGATGGGAAAAATGGTCAAGAACATGATTTACTTTGTGGTCCTGCTGGCCGTCGTCCTCATGAGCTTTGGGGTCAGCCGACAGGCCATTCTGTATCCCGACAAGCAGCCCACCTGGGGCCTGATCAAGGAGGTAAGCTTCTACCACAACTCAATCCTTTTCTCATGTCAGACTTCCTGTAAATAAACAGAAATTAATCTGAGTGTATGTGTGCGAATGTCAGTCTCATTAACACACTTACACACACACACCACCCACTGGAGCGAGTGTGTAAAATTTCTATTGCAGCTTATAAATATCAAAATAATAATTACGATGCGGAGTACATACATTTACTTAATAATAAATAGCAAGCAAAGCTAGTTTTTGGCCTGCGTTTCTCAGTAGTGATGCCAATGCAAATGCAAAACAGACATTTTTACGTACGAGTAGAAGTCCCCATTTTCTTAAATTTCTTAAATTAAGTAGTGAAAATAATTAGAATTTACAATTAACAAAAAAACAAGAAAGAACCAAAGAAACTAATACAATGAAAAATGCCGCTTAAATTGACTCTGTCTCGTATTTGTACTCTTCTTTCTTTCTTTCTGTCATAAACTTACATCTTGAACATCTTCGAAATCTTTCACTTTTTCACCCCTCACTTTCACACCTATCACCTACCACCTGCCACCGCCACCCTTGCATATGAAAAACGCTTTATTAAATGTTTTCCAAACGAAAAAAAACAAAAACAAAAAACCCTGCTAAATGCCAGGTTATTGCCGGCTCAATAGTGGCCCCCGGATTTCTGGGCGCTCTGGGCCACAATACTCGTTCGCACAATGCCCGTTCCGGCTACCATCGTGGCTATCATGCCATGAACGCGGCTCCAGCGACCACCACCACAGCGGCCAGCACTACTACCACTACCAGTACCAGTACCATGGCCAGTACCAGCTCCAGCTCCAGCTCGACGGCTCCAGGAACACCCACGGCAGCCACATACAATGAGCACTTGAATCTGAGCAGCGGGAATTTGACAAACGTAACGCAACTTGTGATCGATCGACTTACTTGGTTTGCTATTTAGAGAGACGACTGTAGAATGCTCTAGCTGCGTCTGCCCTATGAAAAAAAAGAAAAACTAAAAAAAAAAAAAAATAGTATCTACCCAAAAATCTTATAATAACAAGATGCATAGCAGCCACATAGTTTAAGAAATTTTTTTAGAAGCTCCAGTGCGTTTATGAGATTACAAGAGAGCGGCATCTGAAGCGCTCTCTTCGTTTCTCTCCCAACCATATTAAAGAGAGCCTGGAGACAGCTCTTCAAGTTGAAAAATCCTTTGGCGTTACTCATCTTGTTATTATAAGATCTTTGCTCTACCTGTGTGCTGCATAATTCGTGTGGTCTATAGTCGTTGTTGTTGTGTCTTGATGGAGATCGGTGTGCCAAGTATTCAGTTTTATACTTCTATCCCTCTCTTCCCTTAAATATCTTCAAACTTCTGACTATATCCCTGATTTTTTTCTATATATATATATATGTATATCTCTCTCCCCATCTTCTGTCTCTTGCCCCGCATTTCGCTTGCGCCAGTTTTCCCTTTTGTTTTCCCCTTCGCTCTTGCAATGAAAACTCAAGTGTCCGTATTTGGAATCCATTGCTTAGGATGGATTTTAAACACCAGTAAAGTCCAGTTGAATTTGCAAGGGTAAGCCTTAGCTTCGGCTCGCCGAAACTCAACTCTCTCCCTCCTGCTCCAAAAGCTCAATTATTTTCAATCGTTGGTAGTTCTCTCTGCATGCTGTGTATTTAGTCCAGCTCCTAAGGTAAATGTGTGTACTCTGTTTTCGCTTATCAATATATCCCCCTTCACCCCCTCTCACTATTTATTTAAATCCTAATAGTTTTGCCGCATTTTCTAGTTCAGTATTTGGCATGCATAAATATTTAAGAGCTGCCTGCAGCTGTTTGAAATACAATTTAATCCGTATCTCTGCAATAAATCTGCATTTTAACACGCATATATTAAATTGATGTTTGTTTAATATATAAATAACGATAGCTGTAAGGCAAACGTATTTAGTGATGTTAATCAGAGAGTGTCCCTGATATTGTTTGTGATCCAGCTGTGATATGCAAATGAGACGAGAGAGAGACTCCTTTGGGCCTTGAAATATGTGTAAATAAATAGCATGCTGCTTTCAATATCCAAGGAAAATGTGCTGCTTAATTAGAAAACAAAATGTATTGCATTTGAACACGCTGAGAAAAAAAAGGTTAATTAGGAATGAAATTTCTGAATTAAGAAAGGTCATAAAAACTTTATTTAAGCAAATAAATATCATATAAAATATGAAAATAAATTTAATATATGTTTAATAAATATAAACTATTTTTAAAACAAATTATAACTTAATTTTTAATAAAATTTCTAATATTCATTATTACATTATAAGTCAAAATAAAGTCGCTATTCTCTTACTCAAAGAAACATAAAGTCCCTTTAAATATTTTCAAAGTAAACCTTTTTTAAAAATATAATTTTCATTCCTAATTCCCTTTCTCTCTGTGCACACACACACCTACTATACTAACACCTACACCTAACCACCCATCACCCACCCACACGACACCTACCAGGTGATGGCTAAAAATAACCAAACTGTGTTTCAATGTGTAAAAACTTGCATTAATGTTGGGCGATGGTCGCAAATTGAATTACGCCCGGCCATTTCTTGTTCCAATGGTGATGCCTGCCTGTTCTCCCCCTTGTACCCATCCCCGTTCCCCATCCTTGTCCCGGTGCCGGCAGCAGATGAACCCGCTTTTAATGGTGATTTTAATTTATCGTTGTCCAGGTCACCTTCCAGCCCTACTTCATGCTGTACGGCGAGGTGTTCGCCGGCGATATTGACCCTCCCTGCGGCGAGGATCCCAGCCAGCCAGGCTGCGTCACTGGTGAGTTTTGGGTCTTGTGAAAAATACAAAAAAAAATTGACATTGGCAAACTAATTGGATTACAGGCCATTGGGTAACGCCGATAACGATGTCCATGTATCTGTTGATTGCCAATATTCTGCTGATAAATCTCCTCATCGCCGTGTTCAACAATATCTTCAACGAGGTCAATTCGGTGTCCCATCAGGTGAGTGCGATCAAGGAATGAGGGTTTGTTTTAATCAAAAAAAGGAGGTGGAAATGAGGTTTAACTTATAACCAAGTTTAGTTGGGGTTATGATATTGTTAATGCTTTACTAGAGAGTGTTATGTTTTCCTTGCTTTAGGTTTGGATGTTCCAGCGTTTCACAGTCGTCATGGAGTACCAACAGAAGCCCGTCCTGCCGCCGCCATTCATTGCGCTATGCCACTTCTACTCGCTGCTCAAGTACTGTGTGAGAAAGGCGAAAGGTGAGCCTGGGATGAGCAAGTTTAGCTTTGTTCCCTGTGAGTCTATCGTAATCGAGAGCCTTGTGCTAACCGTGCAGCAATAATGTACAAATATCTAACTTTTCTTCCCGCGTGCCTGCCTCACCTAACAACAACAACAACAACTGTGCTATGTGTCTCTGTAACTAACTGTAACTGTATCTGTAACTGTAACTAACTGCATTACGTATACGCCACCTGCTCTAAAAATGAAATGATGATTTTACCAATAACAACACCTACGCCTGCAAAAACGCTTTTGCGCTGTTGTTGTTATTGTCATCTCAATGGTTTCCCAATTCTCCTGATAAATTGTAACACATGTCTACCCCTTGATCGACATTCTGCAGGATTGGAGGTGCAGCGGGACAACGGTCTCAAGCTGTTCCTCGAGAAGGACGACCTGGAGCGGTTGTATGACTTTGAGGAGGAGTGCGTCGAGGGCTTCTTCCACGAACAGGAAATCATTCTCAATCAGTCGACGGACGAAAGGGTAAAGAACACCACCGAGCGTGTGGAGACAATGTCGCAGAAAATCGAGGACATCAATCAGAAGGAGAACATACAAACGGCCACCGTTCAGGTGAGTAGGTTTTTCCCCCTCCTAGCATTTTCCTCTTTGACATTTCGAATTCCATGTTTGCGTTTTTATGCAAATTTCCCCTGTGTGAGTGTGTGATTCGTGTTTACCAAACTGACATGGGTTCTGACAGCACGTCTTCGCATTTGAATTGAAAATTTAACACGTCCGAATGGTCATAGATACCAGAATGCAGCCGGTGCAGTCTTTTTTTTTATGCAACTTATATGCTTTGAGAATTGTTTTTTACTTTGAACACGAAACGAAAAAGTTGTGGGTTTTTTTTTGGGAAATTTCGAAATATTCTAGACTTGGTAATACTTAAAATTTTTACACATTTTAAGCTACTTTTAGAGGGAGGAAGATATACTTTTCCTGCTTAAAATGCGCATATGTATATCCCTTAATTGTTATTTAACTAAATTAAATGCTAAAAATAAGCATAGGCATATCCCTTAATTTTTATGTAACTAAATTAAATTCTATCCCCTTCAAATGTAAACTGTAAACTGTAACCTTAACCCAAGTTTTTCCCGTACCTTTGACAGAACATTGAGTTCCGGCTGCGCAAGATGGAGGAATCCTCTGAGCAGATACTCTCCCACCTGGCCGTCATACATCGCTTCATGTCCACGCACATTGCCGGCACGGATGACCTGCGGGGCTCAACGATAAACATTCCATCGGAGATGCACCGCATGCGTACCATCTCGATATCGGACACGGAGGGCGGTGGCAATGGCAGTGGCGGTGCCGGAGGAGGAGGAAGTGGTAGTGGCGGCGGTGGAGGAGCCATTGTGCCGCTAGCTCTGGGCGCCGGACTGAATTTAAATTCGCTGCAGGTGCGTTTGAAATACATATCGCTGCAGCACCAAGTGCACAGTGAGAGAAAATATTTGGAACTTGATGTACTAAGACCCAAATCCGAATCTTGACAAATGACAATTAGAGCTTAAAGATATTTTATTTATATTTTTTGTTGTTTAGAAAAATGTTTAGAGAATTTTTCCACCTTGTTATTATTTATTAATTATTATTTTTTAACTAGACAAATGGGGTTTTAGATGACAAATTTAGATAAAATTGGTAAATGACAGTCCGCGACAGACTTTAGTGATATTTTTAAATGTTTTATTGTTTCAATTGTTATTTAAAAGTTGCTGTTTAATAAATTAAATCAATCACAACCTTTGTTTTTCTGTGCACACACACTCAAATATTGATGGCCACTTTGTTCAGGTGACCACACGCCGTCGATTCAATCGCTCGCTGACCGAGGTCCGGCCGGACGCGTACATCTTCGACGAGGGCACCCACTTTGAGGTGGTCCCACTGCCAGAGGAACCGGATGAGGTGGTCAAGTCCCGCGAGGCTCTCAACGAGCAGGTGGTGCGCAAGGCTTCGATGCAATCGGAGGCGGACTCGGACATATATTTGCCACTTTCCCAGCGCCCTTCAACCTGCGAGACGGTCAAGAGGACGCCTTATGTGACCGTGCGCCAGGATACCGGAGCCAGCACGGAGAGCAAGGATACCCTGACGCCTATGGGCAATGATGATGATCAGACGCTGGTCGGTGGCGATAATTCGGATGATGCGGCGCCGGATATCAATTTTGAGGGTAATTTTCTCTCAACTAATTATTGTTGTGTTGTCCTGTTTCCTTTGTTTTCTGTAATTTATAATCCTTGAGATCATATCCTAATAAAAAGTTATTTTCTAGCTGCCCGTCATCGGGCCTTGAGACAGCGCACTGTCTCCCTGTGTCGCCGCAACTCGGAGACCTACTCCCTCACCGGAGCAGACTTCAATCGATCGCACATCAGCCTCAACCAGCTGGCCTCGCTCTCCCGCCGCCAGATGAGCCTGACGCAGTCGGAGCCGGACAGCGACAAGGATATGCCAGCAGCTGCTGGAGGCTCTTCCTCCGCTCATCCGGGTGAGTAGCCTTCGAACCTTGACTGCCGATATTCGCGCTCTAAATTCAGGCTACTAAATCCGTCATGCCAACCCACCTAACACCAGAAACTACTGCCCATACCCAAAGAACCAATCCAGCAAACCGATTTGGCCAAAAAGCACTACCATTAACCATTAACCATTAACCACTGACCATAACCGAGTGTCCACATCTCTCTCTCTCTCTTCTCTGAAACCTAACCGAACTCTAGGTAAATCAGTATTGCATGCGAAACCCTCCAGAAATATCTTGCTGAAACTGCACAGCGAGTACACCTCGATCACGGACGAGCTGGAGAGCGTCTGCCACATGATAGCCTCGCCCACGGTCTCTCTGCAGAGCAACAAAGGTAAGCCCCAAGGAGCACAGGGAGCACGAGCGAATCCGAGACCCCAATCCGTGAGCCAAGTGTAAATAAAACTAACCGGGTGAACCCGTATCATTGCCTTGCTTCCGCCGCTGTGCCGTTGTTGTCGCCTCCTCCTGCCAGCAAAGATTCCACCACCCTCCAGCAGCATTCCTGCTTTGTCCCGCAACCCGACTCATCTTTTATAATTTTCCATTGACTTCGACAGCTTCACTGGACCGGCCCAAGACGGAGATGTCGCGGGCGGAGGCCGCCGCCCTGCTGGAGAAGAAGCATTTGAAGGAGTGCGAGGAGAACGATTACAAGATACTGGAGGGCCTGATTGAGGCACGCGGCTCCATTGATGCCAGCGCCCAGCCCTTTGAGGTGAGCAGGAAGCATGCGGAAAGGCTTTATCCTTTTTCTGCTTTGTCAGCGAAAAAGTTATCTTTAGACAATTTTTGGGCTAAAATGTGTCAATTAAGGGATTAGCAGGATTGACCTTTTTATCATCTAAAAATAGCCAAGCTGACGGGCAGCAAAATAGGATCCCCCTCCCTTATACTAAATATATATATATATATCCCTCCACAGATCGGCGTTTCCATAGACTACAGCCATCGCTATCCGCTGCGACGCGAAACTGCCGTTGAGCTGTCACCTTCAAAGCCCTCGGTCGAGGGCGACCTGATGGGCGGAGCCACTGGAGGTGCCGCCAGCGGCGGTGGCGGTGATAGTAGCGACACCAGCGGAGCTGGTAGCTGCGGTGCCATGGTCGTCGTCTCGAGTGGCTTTCAGCTAAAGAACGAGCGTCCCTGGCAGCGCAACTCATCAATGGAGCAACAGACCTATCCCTCTCCCCTAGTGCCCACGCGGGCGACCAGCGATTTCCTCAATCCCCCGTACGAGGGCAGCGGGCGGCTCTTCAAAAAGTCCAGCGAGAGTTTGCAGAAGAACTCCAGCACGGAGACAGACTACTCGGCGCATCCATATCGCTTCATCAAGCAGAGCTCCAACGAGACAAACACCTCGCTGACGGGCTCCTACAACGTGGACACGCCCTCGCTGACCGCAGAGCCCTCGCTGGATGCCGGCGACTCGCATTCGGCGACGGGAATTAGCATTAGCGTTGGCGCCGCTGGCGGCGCTGCCACGGCGCGTTACCAGCCCATCCGCACGGCCTCTGTGGGCGCCGCCGATGGCAGGCGGTTGCGGGACGAGAGCTCTAGCTCTCTGGATCTCAGCTCAGGTGGAACCACTGGGCCAGTGACGATGCAGGCAGCGCCGGCACCGCCATCGCGTCCAATGCTGCTGAAGAAACAGTTTAGCGTGGACCAGGGCAAGCCATCTCAGCCGGCGGAGGCTACTGCCACTGCCACGGGCATGGCCACAGCTACGGCTCAGACGCCGGAGCCTGCTCAGGTTGGGGCCAAACTGATTTCCACGCTCAAGCCGCAGCCCTTTGCGAGCAAGCTGGGCATGAATGTGCTCAAGGAGAGCAGCTCCAGCACGGAGGAGTCGGGCTGTTCCTCAGCCAAGAGCAGCAACCCGGCCCTGTCTATACCCCAGATCAGTACGCATCTGGTGCAGGACGAGATAGCCAAGCTGTCGTCGAACATCAAGAGCAGCACGGAGTCGGAGAAGGATCCGCCGTTCAACGAGACAATGTGTTAGCAAAGCAGGAGGTTGCTCAAAGGGATAACTAGTCATAGGCTGAGCTGGGTGATACGAGCCTAGAGAGCTAGGAAATCAGATATCAGATATATATATAGGCGGGGGGATCGCATGTTACTACGCGTTAATGATTTTTGACAATACATAGTTCACAAATTCTCTGTATTTTTATACAAGTATTTATTTAGAAAGCAAAGTCATTGTTGTTGTTATACACTCTACAGGAAGTCGGGGAAGGGATATCTGTTTTTCTTTATTTTATATTCTCTGTCAACAAGAACAGGAACTCTCCTTTTTCGAGGAACCACCACCAAAGAATTACATATGGTAACGCCTAAGTTATAAAAAGATATATCGCTTACACGGTAATGGGTACTCTGTACATTCTACTCGATTCTTGGTACTCGGTACTCGGTACTTGGTACTCGGTACTTGGTACTCGGTACTTGGTACTCGGTACTTGGTACTTGGTACTTGGTACTCGGTACTTGGAACTCGATCCTTGGTACTCGGTACTTGGTACTCGGTAGTTTGTACTGGGTACTCTGTACTCGATACTTGGTACTTGGTACTCGATAATCAGTACTAGCTACTCAGTACTCGCTACTCCCGTACTGGATACTTTCACAAAAAAGCCACTCCTAGAATATAGTCAAGTCTCTTACACATATTGTTGCTGCAATCCTGCAACTTTCACCCAAAACATATCTCTGGAAGCAACCACTCTACTTTATCCAAGCCGCGAGATCATGAGCACGCACCACCTCAAGGCAATTGGAAACTTATATCGCAGCAACTCTGTGTCGTCTCGTCTCAACTTAGATAGTCCGTTTTACTTGCTTATACTATTATACTATACATATATATATAATTCGTGTATTCTGTGTACCACCAGCTGCCCTTTTGTCGGCGGCTTTAGTTAACTATTATTGTAAATAAATAGAATAAATGTTATATTATGGAAAAAAAGATTGCTAAGATTGCTAAAATTGTTCATGTTTGGCCAGTGTGTGCTAATACCTTTAATTAGTTTTAAAAATTATACGCAAGGATTAAGATTAACAATGCATTTTAATAAAACAAAACAAAAGATTTATGATTGTACTTATTTAATTTAAGAATTGTATGTTATTTTTTAATTACAAATAAATTATTAAACTTTAAGTATTTAAAACGAAGTTAAGGGATTTTAATTTTTGGAATTTTTAAATAAAATAAAACCGAGATATCATTGGGCATAAGCTTGGCATTTCCGAGGTTTGAAAAAGAAAAACCAAATGCTTTCGATTTAAATCGATTTTAAATCGATTAATTTCATAGTTTTCCCATCACTATTTGAGATCCCCCTAAAGAGTTTGATATCCTTTTAGATTTCTTTGGTTTTCATATAAAATTCACTTTATTAATTCCTGTTTTCAACAAAAATACACTTTGTTTATAAAGTTTTTATTATTCACTTCGCATCGTTTTTTAATACTCTACTATAATACAAGAATAGTTCCTAAATAGACAGGTATTGGACCTACAAAATTTACACATTAATAAAGTCTTTTGCGTCGCCGTGTAAAGTAACAGCTAGGAAAACTATACAAACAACTTGGTTTTTATTACAATTAAAATTATTTTAAAGTGTTTTAATAAATATTTACAACAAATGGCAATAGGACTTTCGCATCGATTACTTCTAGAAACTAGACAAGGCACTTATGTAAGTTAGCGTAAATTACTAGAAAGTCAAACCGGCAAGAACATTCAATGCTTTAGCGGTTCACAAGTTGCACGTAGTACTCCTATAAGGTAGATTTTTTTTTGTTGTCGTAACTAGCCTATCGTTTTTCGGTTTATCGGTTTTTCATTGATAACACACTTGGTATAATCTGCCTTGGACTTCCTGTGGCAGTTGGTGACTCGAGCCATCCATTTAGAATGTGATGTGTACGGTGACTGGGTTATGGCCTGCTCGGAGTTAGTTGTTCTCATTGCTGTTGAGGTTCTCGGCCTCCGGTTCGCCAGGATTCTGATGGACCAGCCTGTCGAGCTCCTCTTTCTTGGTGCGTTGGAAGAAGCCCATCTGAGGAGTAAGTAAAAACAGGTCAGATAATACTCTATTTATAAATAACTTTCCAATTACAAACCTTGTAAAGTCCATAACTCATTGCAGATAGCAACAGCAGGCCACCGATTACGGACACCAGGATAATCCACCATATACTTCTCGCCTGCAAATGTTTATATATCACATTGGGCTCGATCCTCCGGTTAATGGCAAACGACGTGGAGGTGGGATCGCCCTTCTTGCGCAGCTCCAGATCAGACAGGATCACAAAGTACTCCCAGGGATCCATAAGTATAGAGTTCACTTCGTTCAGATTCACATTGTAGCGCATATTCAGGTTAATGGATTTCTCCGGCCTGAAATGTACCTTCATCTCGGCCCGGATACAGGTGGTCATCTGGGGATCGCGGCAGTGGAAGACAATGGTCCGGTTGACCGGCAACTTGTCTTTGAAGTCATCGCTCAGCATATCATGAGCCTTGACGTTCGAGATGCGAGCATATTGCTCCCGGTTGGCGGTCAAAGCCTTAAGGTCCCTACGCTTCCGTGTCATCGAAGCAGTGGCCACCGAATCCGTATCAAGCACCTCCATGGTCTGATGGATGTGACCACTGGCGGATATGTCATAGCCTCCACCATTCTGCGTGATCACAGTCCTCTCCAGGCCACCGCTGACCGTGGTGGATACCTCTTTGGCGTCCAGTAGGAGCAGGGTATCGTTCTGGTCGTAGATATCCATGTTCACCAGCTGGGAATCGTAGGTGGCCTGTATCCTCAGGCTGTTTATGTTGATAATGGGTATAACAGCCGAGGAGCCGGCCACCTTGTAGGCAATGGGAATATAGAAGGACAGCGTTAGCTCCTCAATCACACTAGGACCATTGCTCTTGATCTCGTAGTTGTTGATGATTTCTGTCGAGTTGCTGTAGTGCTCCAGGTCAATCTGTGCATTGGTTTGGCCACTGAAAGGTTATGAAAATCTTAGCAAGTCTTCTAAGGTTTTATTTAAGTTTTATGTCTTACCCGGTGGCATCGATCTCGGTAAACTCCTTCAGGCCAATCACATTAACCTGCCTGTTGTCCATGGGATTCGCTTCCCTTCCCGTACTGAACACCTCGGCGGTGATGATCAGTGAGAGCCCACTCAGCTGGCTCACATCGAAGCTGACGGTCAACGAGTCCCGGTCACCCTTGGCCAAAGGTCGTCCTCTATTTAGATCGCACACCATGTAGGCCTCGGTGACCTTGCAGTTGCCGGGCACTTGGGCAAAGGGCAGACGGGAGGCGCTGGTCACGTTGAACTGGGGCAGGTAGGCAGTCTCTCCCACGTTGGTGATCTCGTAGTTCAGGCGGAGAGTGTCGGCGCTGCCCAGGATATAAGTGGAGCTAAAAAAGAGGAAAGTGTTAAGACCAATAAAAAAAAATTAAAAAGTGTTTTCAGCTTACCTCACATCCTTGCTCTTAAGTTGCAGATCGGCGTTGCAGACATCGTTGGCACAGCCTGTGCTGAAGATGATCTTATCCTGGTAAACCTTTGGATCCGCTGGATCCACAGCCACACAGGTGTCGCAGAATTCTGTTTAAAGATAATTATGTTATTAAAGGAACCCTTAGCATATAAACAAAATATAATAAAAGCTTACCCTCCGATTCGGGAACCTTCTTGATCAATTCGTAGTGCATCTCCAGGTCAATGGGCGTGAATATATCCTTCTCGCTGTAGCGCACCTGGACCTCAAAGACGCGGCACTGCTCGCCCAGTCCAGCATTTGCCTCGAAGCTCATCTCGTTGGTCTGCGTCTGGGCGAACTTGGCCCGCTTCAGCTGCGTATCCATGGCTATCCGGATTTTTAGCTCCTGCTGCTGTATCTTGGTGTCCTTGGCAGTGGTGCCCAACCGATAGCAGGCGGAGATCTTCACCTTGTCCTGCTCCGGCTTGATCTCACGCGACTCTGACTTCACGGTGGCATGAACCTTGACCACCGGATAGGCTTTGTACAAATACAGAGCCTCGGCATTTGGTGCTCCCACGGCAAAGTCATTGAAGCCATTGTTATCGATATCGGAACCGCGGGACAGGCCGTGGCCAAACATGTGGGTTCCATATTTGGAGGCCTGCTGGCTAGGAGCATCTAGCTGCTGGCTATGCTTATCCCTCAGTCCCCGCTCGCTGCCCAGGTAGATGAACACTGAGCCATTCCCAGCAAATGGAGCGCCTACGGCAATGTCTATGGAAAAGGTAATTATTAGTGAAGATTCATTTAGATCTGGAGCTTAAGAACTATAAAGAAAGGCCTGCTAAACCCACCATTAAAGCCGTCATGGTTGATGTCACCCAGTCGGGAGAGGGTGGTGCCGAAGCGGCCATTGCTCGTCAGCGGCGAGCGCAAGATCTTCCTCTCAAAGTTGAACTGCAACGATAAGGAAGCATTAGTCAGTTTCTCATATTTCACTGAGCAGGGAAGACCCACTTCAGACCCACCCATAGACGGAATCATGGATTACTCACAAAGCCCTTGTTGATAAACACATATATGGCTCCGTTGTCGTGGGAATCCTCCAGAGCGTACTGCGGCGCCGAGACGATCACATCCGTTTTGCCATCCCCATTGAGATCCTCCGCTAGCACCGAGTAGCCAAAGTATTCGCCAAACTGCTCACCCTGGAAGACGTGGTGCTTCTTAATCTTTTCGTTTTTGATGTCAAAGATGTAGGCCTCGCCGGACTGCTTGTTGGCCTGGGGGGCGGTGGCCACGTAGAGCAGTGTGGACAGGTTGGCGCTGTCGAAGTAACCGGAGCTAACCGCATAGCCAAAATATTCATCATCATTTCCGGTTGGTGTGGCGACCAGCTCTTCGTAGTCCTCATTCGCAGCACTCCGTATTCGACGACTGCGGCGGAGCGCGCTGCTCGTGTCCCGCCGACTAGCTGAGGGCGTGTCGTCGTTGTCATTCTTACGGTACAGGATCACTGAACCTTTCCATCTTAAGATGCCAGGTGCTCCGATGAGAAACTTGGAGTTATAGTCTACAACATGGGCACTCAGACCCATCTCGCCGTAGATGTAGTTAAAGGAGTTCACGCCTTCGTCTATGACTGCTTGCTCTTTTTTAACGCGCAGCGGCGAGATGCTGAATACATTTTTTGGAGTGCTGTCCAGGGTGTCCTGCACCCAGTAGCAGATCCCGTGCAGGTGGTAATCCTTATCACCGGGTGCGTAGAAGCGGGGAGCGCACACAAGCAGTTTGTCCGTGTCGCGGGTGCCTCCGTCCATGGATCCGCCCAGCCACTGGAAGTCATGGCGCACAGAGTCAAGGGTGACGCCGTTGTAGGGTACATCTAAGTTGCCTGTTTCGTCCAGGACATATGGATGGCATTCACCGTTTAGCAGAGAGCACCTGTATATCGCTCCTGGCTCACTGATATTGCGCTGCGACACCAAGGTGGATTGGGCACGAGGAGCACCAACGATGATGCTGAAATGAGGGAGGTAGGATGAAAATGGTATATTAATAAGGGGAAGAGATATGCTTTAAATATGATTTTGCGCAAGTTTTGTTTTTAAAATGTACCATTACACGCTTTTAAATACTTTTTTGAGCATTGTTCAAGTTTATTTTTTATAGAAAATGATTTATTAATAAAATTATTTATTATTTTATTATTTTTTGTTTCATTTATTTTATTTATTTCGTTTATTGTTAATAAATCGAATACCCACGACTTTCCAACAAATTGCTTTGACTAATTTAAATGGTTAACACCACATAAAAACCTTTGAAGCGATCGCTTTATTTGCCAAACTTTGGAAACAAACAAAGTGAACAAAATACCTGGTCGAAAAAAAACAATGTACCACAAATGTATGTTCATAAATGTAGAAATATGTATATGTATATCATTAGCAAATAAAATTGTTAAAAGTGACAGCAGCAAGCCAGCCAGCATTTCTTCTTTGTTGGCTCATAAAAAAGTCAAGAAAACAAATATAAAGTAGCAGTCAGATATATTTACGAATGGGAAGCCAGCAGTTACTACATATATACCCAGTTCTTAGTTTCTTATATTTTCTTTTGAGGTAAAAACAAATGTATTTTGACAACTGGAAATATTGAACGGATATTGTTACAATGCTCAGTACATTCTGTATTAGTCAGACATTGTGGGGCAATTGAAGGTAGTATATGTCTCATCCATTAGTCGACTTTTCCGGCGAACTTATACAGTCACAGTCAGTCAGTCAGTCAAGTGGCTTGACAATGAAAAGGTATTTATTTGATAGATTTACCAAGACACAAAATTACCCATCAATAGCTCAGCATAACTGAGAAATCGAATGCAATTCGAGGTAAATAGAAACTTGATAAGACTATATATTTATTTTCAGAGAGAGAGAGAGGTGAAGCTTATCTCAGAAAATGTTGCCTTAGCGACATTTCACTGTGACAGCGGCAATCTTATCGTAAATCGTAGCTGGCAAACGTTGCTTTGTGATAACAAATTGTCATTGGCTTCTAACTTAACCGAAGCGTTCTAGAACTAAGCGAACTCCACCCTGCTCTGTTCGGTTTTTCGATGAATAATCCAATGGAATAACTGTAGGGCTCGGACGTGCAGCACTGCAAATATTTGCATAACTTCCAGCTCTCCAACATATCGCCATGAACCCGTAAATACCATATATAGAGTCCCCTGCCTGACTATACCTCCTCCTCCTCGCTGCGTGTGTGTGCTGATAATTGATATTAAGGGTATGACCTCATCGTTTGTACAAGGCATTAAGTGCTTCTTACGGCATTTCTTTAATATTTTCCTTCTTTTTTTGTATAGCTTTCATAGCATTTTCAAAAAAGTTCATTTCATTCACTTTTAACGGCTACTACTGCTTATATATTGAGTGCCGTTTGGGGCGAAGTGAATCATCAACCTGTTTACTCCCCGAATACGGAGTTGGAAGAGTGGGGAACTTGGACTCGGAGATGCGGGAGATGCTCTTACCCATTGGGTCGCAGGCTCATCGTAAAACCAAAATATGACGCACGCACTTTGGTCATGTTGGTGTAGGGCTGGGGATCCAAGATCCGCAGGTTGGGTCGCGGGGATAGGTTGAAGGAGCTGCCAGGAAAGGGGACCACTGTGAGGCACCACAGGGCCAGAGCCCACACGATCTGCTTCATTTATGCAGATTTTTTTTTATAGGTCTTTGAGCTGCGATTAGTTTTAAATATTTTAAATCGCCACGCGATCTCCACTCCGTGTATTTATTATCACTTTCGTTATGCTTGCCGCCAGCAGCAGTGGATATATATATAATCGGCAACAGTTCCGATCGAAGGTCTGAAAGCTACTAACTGAGGCAAGGCACAGCGAGCTACACCTTGGCTCTCCCGATAAGCTGAGAGAAAAATATTGAGCGGGTAAGAGCAAACAAGTTATGGCTGTGATATGAGAGAGCCGCTTTGTTTTGGCCAGGCTTACTCACGTTACCGTTGGCCTCCGCCTCGTGGGAGTGCCATCGAAACCATCTCTGCCATATTTGCAGTTTTCAGGGAGACCACTCTCAATTGTGGAAATCAAAGTGTTTGTTTTTTTAAGCAGCTTCTTGAGCCAAAGACTGACTCATCTTAAACTCAATTGATAGGAACAGAGAACTGGTTAAACTAAAACTTAAATTTATATATTATTTATTGATAAATAGTAAGTTCCATCTGGCAGACATAACTTCTCTTACTTCTATTACTCATTTATAGCTCAGTCTAACTTATCTGGCTCTCAATTGATAAGATAAAGATTAAAACTGCAAAAATGCAAAAACATATATAGAGCGGATGCTCTTAAAATGCTTACCAAACTATAAATAAACAACTAAAAATTCAAGGCAAGCAGAAGTTTGAACTTAAAGCAAGGCAAGGGAATTAATGTTTAATGTTTTACAATGATAAAAAAGTTTAAAAAGAGGCTGGTTTTTCAGAGTTATATTTTATAAAATAAATTTCCAATTAGTATTGTTTTACATAAATCCCATGACTGCCAGCTAAGATTAGTAATTTATATATTAGTAATACAAATATTTAAAGCTTGATAGTATTTATTTTGCTGTATATAATTTCTGAGAGGAACATAGGGAGCCTCGCTAATATTTAATCTATAGATTACAACTAGCTATAATCACTGATTATTTAATGAAAATACAATCAAGTTTCTATTTTTATACCCTTGCAGGGTATTATAATTTCAGTCAGAAGTTTGCAACGCAGTGAAGGAGACGTTTCCGACCCTATAAAGTATATATATTCTTGATCAGCATCAACAGCCGAGTCGATATAGCCATGTCCGTCTGTCCGTCTGTCCGTCTGTCCATCTGTCCGTCTGTCCGTCTGTCCGTCTGTCTGTTTCTACGCAAACTAGTCCCTCAGTTTTAAAGCTATCTGAATGAAACTTTGCATATAGTCTTCTATATACTCTCACTGCTATATATGTCGGAACGGGCCGGATCGGACGACTATATCATATAGCTGCCATACAAATGTTCGATAAATTTTTCGAAAAAAAATTATAACTTTGCTGTTTTTTAACATTTTTGCACAATTTTTTAGATATGGCCATTCTATATTATTTCTGAATTTTGGTAAAAATTTTATGAAAATCGGACGACTATATCTTATAGCTGCCATAGAAACGATCGGGAAATTAATAGGAAACAAATTATAACTTCGTTGTTTTTCAACGTATTTTCATCTACTCTGAGATATAAGCTTATTTTATTATTGTAGAATTTTGGTATAAATTTCATGAAAATCGGACAACTATATCATATAGCGGCCATAGGAGCGATCGGTAGATGTAGAGAAAATGTAAAGGTGTGAATGTAAAACTGTAACTGTCAAACTGTAAACATTATAAGTATAGTTGAAATGTAATGAAATAATATCTGCAAGGGTATACAAACTTCGGCGTGCCGAAGTTAGCTTCCTTTCTTGTTAAAAGTCTTTTTACAGGCTTCATTGATTAATAACAATTCAACAAGAACTGGTTACACTCTATTTTCTATTTTTATCTTTCTTGATATATTTTAAAATTTTTACAGAAGAAAGAAAATATTTATTTGTAGTATATAAATTATTTAAAGTGATTTATTTGTAAAATATATTAATTTATTTCAAGCTCATCCTTAGCTTATACAAATTGTAAATATTTTTTATAAGCCAACAATTCGTTCAATCTTAAAGATAAAAGTCTAAGCAATTATAGTAAATAATAAAATCTGCTTCACTTAACAAGCTGCAACATCTTTTTGATTTATTTTTTATTGTCATACATACATACGTATATGTATGTTTACAAGGTTCCCCCGGCTTAGTCAGTGGAAATGAGATGAGTCACTAGACATCGCCATGCATCCACTATAAACCCCAACCCGATTTCATACGTAATTTTATCCCTCGACGAAGTAATAGTTTGAGCTTGATTGCATGCCAATCATTAAAAACAAAGTGTCCACAGTTTGAGTTATTTCTTTGGTAACAAGCACACGTCACTTTGGCTACCTGATATGCCATTTGTTCAGGCCCAAAACTAAAACAGTTAAAGGCTGTTAAAACATGCGGCCAACATTTGTTTTCACTTCGGCGGCTAACACAAACCATGCTGAAATTTTGGTAAATACACAAGACACTATCACTGTCGCTTGCGTATTTCCCCAAGAAGTGACTCATAACCATGTAAGCCGTGTCTCGCACACGCACATGTCCCAAGTCCACCTCCCACCTCATTTCACTCGGGCTTTTGTGCATTCCCACAGCGGTGTCCAAGTTGGAGGTGACCCCAAAAAATATGTAGATGTAATTATAAGGGGTTCGAAATGATGATGAATGGCTGTTCAGATTAATGAAATTAAAAATTTGGGAAAAATATGTATGTATATATAAACATATGTGAAAAATATAATAAGAACAGAGTAGTGTTGCAATTTAGTTTGCCTCATTTCTATTGTTTTTATAGCTTTTTTTTTGGATTTATTTAGAATATATAATAGATATAAATCCCCAAGCAATCTATGTCGATATATAATTACTTTCCAGCACCCTCGCAGCCACATGTGGATATACCCCCAAAGGCCTTGAGATTCTAAGAGTAAACTGAACTTTATCTAGAATGTAGTATTTTTATTTTTACAATTTTTATCAGAATTTGAGTGAAGAAAAATTTTAAATCAGGAAAATATAATATATATTGTAGGAACATATGAGGACCACCATGTAGTATAAGTGGAAACAATATGAGGACCACCATGTAGTATAAGTGGAAACAATATTAGGACCACCATGTATTAAGTCGATTGTAAATAAAGTAGGTTATCGATAGTTTGTAATGATATATGTATATGGAGAGACTGCGATCTCTACTTTTTGTCGGCGTTTTGTAAAAAGAAGTGCGCAACTTTTGGTGTAAAATAAAAATATAAAGACTGCAATAT